GTAAGAAAACTTTCAAAATATACACAGTAGACCTATAGCTCAGCATTTTGTTTATGTCTGTGAAGAAAACTAAATGTGATTGTTATTGTGTTTGCTATAAGCTAAATTCACAGAGCCTTCCCTCTCTGTCCTGCATTAGACAAATACACAACAAAACAACCAAAGTGCTAATGGCCAACCATCAGGGAGAAGAAAACAAAATTGTCAAAAAAGAAGTCTGTTAAGTTTGAAGGATTACATTGAATATAATATGAGATATCTCTAAAATAGTCAGTCGGTGGTCATTACTTTATTTAATAAAAGGGCTCCCTTAAGGAAAAAGATTGGAAACCACTGATGTAGGCCACGAATATGGCAACAACCAGCACCAGATCACGATCCAGTCTGAGAATCACTGTACCAGGTCTTATTTGATGCTAAAGCCTGAGACTGTAAGACTGTTTAAAACTGCACTATACAGTATCACATGTTGGGCCCTAAAGACTTAAATACCCAGAGGTTTTAGACTAAAGCTCTCTTATCAAATTGAAGAGAGAGAGAGGGAAATGATCTTGTCCAGCTCACTCATTTCTGTTTAGGACACAGTTTGTATGTTGCTGATTACTTTAAATTATTTACTGCGTGAGAAATTCCCTTTCAGTATCCATAACAGCAGAATTTCAACTGGGAAAATAAGATGCAGCATGGAAACTAGTTTAAAAATGTAAGTATAAAACATTCAGTTGGTGTTTTAACCAAAATATGCAATATGAATGTTATATACAAATCACACCACTCATCAGTAAGATTGTAGGAATATTTTCTAACATGTTGTGACATTAAGCTGTCGACCTGATCCATCAGATTACTCCATACAATGTGATTTATATTAAAATCAGAGGCTGTAAGAAGAGAGAGATGAGAGCACATTCAACATTTTGGTCCCTTTATTTCATGTTAACCACATTTCAAACAACTAAACAACCAATGGTAATGGCATCACCAGATCTAAACAACACTTTGCTAGACAAATAATCATTGGAATAATAATTATACAAAAGAAATGTACAAATTCAGGACAAATAAAAATGCAAAAAGAAAACAAACAAAATATATAATACAGATGAACGGCCATGAACCAAGCCAATAAAATAAAGCCTTAGTGGAAATATAAATGATAAACATTTCTGGCATTCACATTGTCTTCAATACAACACTCGTACGTCTTTTTCTTGATAGGTCCATTAAGGAGCCTGACTGGACTCCAGCACACAAATAAAACGCAAGCGCGGACTGAACAGTTTGCCACAACATTTTGCCACAAGTATGCCGATTCTGGCCAAGAGCATTGACACCTACGAGCAATTTTTGCTAACTAAACAAAATGTTCACCAGAGATCCACCTTCACTGTCGTTAAATGTGAAGTTGTATTCCAAACTGGGGAATCCATTGTCTCCAAATACTGACACCTGCTGGTATGAATTAATGACGTAAAGGTAAATACAAATTTTTTTTTAAGATATTGGCTTACAAAATCGCTTTTGATGATTCTGCTAAAACAGATCTGTGATGTTTGAAAATGAAGCCCTTAATCTGATGTCCTGTTCTTACATCGTCCATATTACCTCAGGCGACACAGCGACTATTCTTTAGCCACCAAAAAAGCCAACGAATTCCTAAATATTATCACAGTCCTTTTGACTCAACACAGTTTAGAGGGTGCTAAAAGGAAACGGGGAGTGTGACTTTAAAATTAGCTTGTTTAGTTCTCCACACATCTTTTGAACGGACTTAAGAGAAAAATGTTTGTTAAAAGATGAAATTCTGATCAAATGAGGGGATAATGCTGAGGTCAGCCTCGCCTCCTGTATAATTCTCGTTAACTCCCCAACATGTCCTTTGCGCTGCAGTGGCATCTGAACTGTCAGCCATGTTGACCTTCTTCCACTGGGATCAACCGTCAACTGAAATCATTTCCTATCGGACTGGAAAGAGAGTTTGTTAAATGAATTTTTAAACCTGCACACCTCAATGGGCTTGTCGAAAAAGCAAATGTGAGGCTTTGTTTGCAGAGGAAAAGTAAATGTGACCTGTCTCTTTGTCTTTGTGTTATCGTTTTAATGATAGACGGCAGGCTGGGGAAACGGTCTAATCCCAGAGCTTCTTTTTCACTAAAATGTATCCAGAATGTGTAACATGAAACACAGCATGGCTTATGGATCTGATCTTAATCAGGGAGTCTATCTTTTTGATCACTGTGGGTCAACTTTACTCTGAATTCATCCATAAGCAATTCTGATTTGCAGTTAATTTCTGAATGATCTTAGATCTCAGATACTGGAAACAATGAGTGCAAAGTTCCTGCATATTGTTTTCCCCCAAGCCAATGCTGTTGTGTTAAACTGAATACCATCTGCCTTGGCATTAGATACGAAAGAAAAGTGAGGAGGAAGAAATTAAGTACACAATTTTCATTGCTCAGGTGAAGTCAAAATGATCAAAACCAATAAAGCGGGGTTCTAGCTACAAGCTAAACGTGGTGAAAACAAATGTTGGCCTAGTGAGTGATTGATTTTGCCTGCATACAGTTCAGGAGGCATGCAGGTAAACATGGTTTGGCTAGTCTTGATTTTAGTTAATAATTTATCCCAGTTTGTCCTTTCAAAGCAAGTATTTTAAACCGCATAAACCAACTGGAAAAAAGTAGAATAAGTAGAATACGTTTTTTTTTTTTATCTTCAGTGAGAGCGTGTCACTGCTGTTAATACCACACAGATGCAGGCTGACATCGTTGTTTGAAAACGTTTCCTGTACCCAGAGCATCACAAGTTCAACCCAAACAGCCATGTTCTTAACATCTCCTTAAGGATAAAACTTAATTGCTATCTGCTTCCTCATTTTAAGTCACTCTGAATGTGGGCGTCAGCTAAATGTGCAATATGCAAAAATATATATCTTAATTCTTTAGACAACATGTCTAAATGGACAGTTTGTAAGGTATAATAATAAGATTTTGTTCCAAACTATAGCCACCAAGTCGCGGAAAATGTCACAGACACAGCTTTTCAGAGCGATAGTGTTTTGAAATGAAACCTTTATTTGTAATGTGTCTGGTGCATGATGTTTGTCTGTTTGTTTGTTTGACTGTGGTTGTCTTATCGTATTTACAGTAAGGGTGGATGCACACTATAAGATTTTGACAAAACCGACTTTACACAAAGTCTTCCTAAAATACATTTTATGAAACTTTTTTTTTTCTTACAGCCCCAGTGAAAAAAACCTGAAGCAGAGACAACAACAACAACAACATTTGGTCTTCAAGGCAAGGCATGATTTCTTTTTCTTTTGTGTGTTTAATGCCGTTGTTATTCTTCACCATGCACTAGACTCCACTCACTGTAGCTTGTGACATGCTACTTCTTCCTGTTTAACAGTATCTGCAACCACATTTTTCCAAGTTAAACGAAACTGTTGACTTGATGCAGTATGAAGGAAAAGAAACCATACTGAGAATATTTTGTAACCAATTACTGAATTACAAGTATCATTAACGCAGTCAGGAGGCCCGAGCCTCAAGGAAAATTCATCAGCTTGTGATTTCAAAGAAAAATGCCAGAAATATTAACAAGTGTCTGTTGGTTTTTGCTTTGATCCAGCTAACTGAATCATCAACAACATCCACATTTCAGCTAAAGTCAGCCAGACATGTTTCATTACTTTCTACAAATACTCTGTGGATAAACACTGGAGTTCAAAATGCAGAGTCGAGGCATCGCTTGAACCTCAGCTAAATGTGAAAGTTCTCAAAAATCTTCCAGTGTGCATCCAGCCTTCAGAGGGAGACAACATTCAAGGCGTAGAGTATATCTAAAAAGGAAATACTGTACAATAGTCACATCACAGCCCAGCAGAGAGGACAGAGAGATAGAGAAGGAAAAAGTGGCGCTTTTTTTAACATCTGATTTTGTTTTTTCAACGTATCATTTTTTCTTTTTTCTTTGTACAAGCATGTAAAGTCCCCAGTCTTGCTGAAGCGAACACACACATGAAAATCCCCGGTGTGTATGTCTGTCGCCTTTTTTTTTCTCTTCTGTACAGGTTGCGTGTGAGTTTTTACAGGCACACACATAGATACACACGCGCACACTCAAATATGCAGGCATGCCCTCTCTTATTCACACAGAGTGCACACACTCTCAAACACACACACACACACACACACACAGGCACACATGCTCACAGGTTGGGTTCGGGTCAACACGAAGCAGTTTTGCACTTTGTGTGTCCCAGTGTTGCGTTGAGAATGACAGGCAGCGTCAACGGCGAATCAGAAAAGAGATTTTCAGCCCACAGCCAATCAGAAGGAGCTGAGCGCCTCCAAAGCCACTTCATAGCAGAACTTATACTGTTCCTGCAGAGGGGAGGGAAAGAAAGGCAACGGTAAGCCATCTGCAAAATGATTTCTTCACTGTTACGCATTGCCAAGCAAAGATTAAAAAGTACCTTAAATTGGACTTAAATTATGTTTTAAATATCCTAAAGTTAACCTTCCTTGAGTACCAGCAAATGATGCAAAAAGGTATGCTTCAATTTAATAATAATTTATTCATCCATGTAACTACCTAGATCAACAGAAAATAAAAAAACTGAATATAAAGAAAAAATTCAAAGGCTTTAAGCTTAAAAAGCTTAAAAATTATATGCAGAATATGTAATAAATACATGAATAACTATAAAATAAGTCAAACGTAGAAACAAGGAGAAGGTAGACTTGCTTATTAACCTTTCACTATTCTTTGTATTCCAGATCCGATGGAGCTGTAAAGATGTAAAATGTGAACGGCAGAACTTCACCAGCCTTCCCTCGATATCCTTACTTTATAACTTTATACAAGACAGCATTGCCATCTGATTTATTTTTGTACATATAAGGTCTAAGGCAATACAAACTGAAGTCTTAATCTGAAGTAATTGTCACATTACTGGCTGAGCGCCTCCAAGGCCACTTCATAGCAGAACTTATACTGTTGATATGATAATGTGTGTGTGTGTGTGTGTGTGTGTGTGTGTGGGTGTGTATTATCAGTCCTCACCATAGTCTCCACCATATTAGTCTTGTTGTTCCTCAGTGTTTTGACGGTGTGGAAAACATCCACAATGTTCTGCTGCTGGATCATCTCATTGATGCTGCAGATGGCACAGAACGTTCCAGAACGCCCTCCGCCGGTACTGCAGAGGAGGAGGAGGACGGGGAATGAGGTAGGAAGAAGGGAGAGGTGAGAAGGATAAAAGATCTTCAATATTAAACAACAACATCATCATCCAGGAAACCTAGGTGTGTATGAAAAATCATCCTGCTGATCATAGACAGAGAAAAACAACAAGATTATAAAAGCTGGAGTACATAAGAGTTGAAGGGAACACAGAAAAAAGGATAGAGATAATAAAGAAAGAAAAGTCGAGATGTAAAAGATGAAAACACCTCTAGTTTCAGAGATTTTCACTCTCCTTTACAGAACAGCAGTACTTGGTTTTCCCCTTTTATCACCCTGGGAGCTTTGCTTTTTAAACTATGTTTGTCATAGAATTTAATGTTTTCTTTCAGGCATTTCTCTTTCCTTTAGAGTTGTTCTCCTGCCTCTGCTTTGTTGCAGCTGCTGTGTTGAGGTTGACAGTGTCAGCCTTTCAAAAGTGCTCTTGAAACCTTTGAACCTTAAGCTGAGAAAATGTTCAATGGGTTTTAATAAAACTCAATAAAGGAGGTTATAAGAAGCAAGATGTGTGTCTTTGTTGTGATTGCGTTTAAAGTGTAGGTTTGTGTTTGTTAGCGTGTAAGAGGAATGGTTTCCAGTTTAGAAAAGGCAACATTTTTATCTTTCAGGGTAACAGAAAAGCATGGATTTGGAGACTACTCCCAAGTAACCTTAGCAAATACTCTAAAAGGACATATGTTTATGTGCACGTGACAAACACTTAATAGGATAGGACGTTTGTCCATCAGGAGCAAAGAAGAAAGCAGTGTGACATCTCAGAGATAGAAAGTCTACAGAGGGCGGAGGTTGGGGGGTTGGATGGGTCAACAAAATGTCTTACGGTTGACCACAATCTTCACTGTAACCATGATGATCATCACGCCCCCCTAACCATAACCAAACTGAATTTATTTATTTATTAAATATTTTTTAGGGCTTTTTATTGCCTTTAATCAATAGAGAGCTGAAGAGTGACATGGAAGGGAGGAGAGAGAGAGGGGCTTTGTGTCTGTTTTTGTAAAATTATGATATTGGTACTGGTTGATTGTATTTAATGTTTATTGAAATAAATATTCCTACAGGGAGTACTATCAGGTGAGCTTTAACATACTACCCACCTGCACCACTCTTAAAACTGTATTATTTTGTGGCATTTCATAAAAAAATTATAAATTATTTGACATTAACAATCGACTTACGTTTTAAGACAAACAATGCACTATTTTTAGACCATATATGGGTGAAATGGTGCAAAAGCTGTAACAAAAAGATAATAATACACAAAGCCTAACTATGTTTGTAACAGTGGGATTAGGGTTCTCAGAAATGCAAATTACTACATAGTACATACAAGTTCCAGAAAGTCAACTTTGTTTTTTTAGAAGACTTTTTTTAATCCTACCCAAAGTGAAAAACAATGAAAGTTAAGAAAAGGCTAAATTAGACAAAGAATGGCAGGATGTCACAGAGTGAACATGAAATACAAAGAAACCTGTCACTGAAGCAAAAGAACATGAGCTCTACTAATGGATTTAAGACATTTGAATGGATTTGCTCACCATAAATTTGAGGTTTTTAGACTTAATACAGAGGCTAACTTGCTATAATGGACAAAGATGCAGTGATGCAAACATATTTGTGTGTTTACTGGCTATGTGGTCCAATCAGCAATCAGTGCTCTGCCAGTCAGCAGTCAGACCACCCACCATGAAGAGAGCTCCAGACTTTCTCGTCTCAACTGGTTCCAGCTGAATTCCTTCAGTATTCAGACTGAATAAAACATTCAGGCACTGAGAGGTGGAGTGGCAGCCATCACAGAAATCAGCCACTGTCTAACTGTCCTGTATTAGCAATGCCAGGGCCGTTACAGTCTGCGCTCCAATCAGGATAGCTTAGATGGTATCAGATTAGTAGTCACTTTTCCAAATTTTATTATCTTCTTATTTTTGCGGAAGGCCTGCAATTATATTTTAATGCTTTCAAAAGTGGTACAGAAGGTTAAAACAAACAATATAATGTATTTGTTTTTCATAAAACTTGCCACTAGACCATTGATTGAAAACCTTTTTTTGCTCAGAACCACTTACAACATAATACCTCTAGCTCACAAACTAGTTATTTTCAGGTTTTATTAAAATTTTTATGTGTCAATTTTGAAATGGGACACAGCACCTCAGGTATTCATTAGACTGGGTTTGGATATTAATATTTGAGATAGAAATTTTAAAATGCAAGGTTTTCCTTTTGCACTTCTTTTTCTGACCTTGTGTTAGTTTTAGTTTTTTTAAAGGCTGTCTACAGTGTCAAAAGATTTTGAAAGAGAGAAATTTAGAGAAAGAGAGATTTAGAAGCTAAATCATGTGCACTAAAGAGCTAGGCAAGACAGTTTAGCAGTTAATGTAGCTTTGAAAGAGAGACATTCTGGACATAGTTGATGTTTGAATCAAGGTGTTAATAAAATACTTGCATGCTGTTAATAATTTAGGGAACTGTTAGGACAAGACAGTGCAATATTTCTGTTACTCTGTTCTATCTAAAATACATATAAAACTATAACATATAAAATATATATATATATATATACGTTTAGATAAATACAGCACAGATTGCTGTGTTAAGTGTGCTGCTTCTCACAGTTCTCTAACAGGTTCCCCCAGTGTGATTTGCTGAAAATGAGACATGTACTCAGCATTAAAGACCCATCAGACACCAACCTCCAGAACAAGTGAAGATCAGAAAAATAATACATTTTCAACAGCTACTGATTGAACCATCATGTTTCTCCTTATCTCTAGCATTACTGAGTCTGTGAAATCAATATCTGGGGCTGATTAGCCAGTGTAGCTGTCTTTAGCCAGAAGCAGAGAAAGCTTGCATTCTGTCACTCACATTTACTGGGGTTGAGCATTGCAGTCAGGGTAGTAGGTAGGGTACAGTGGGGCAATTCCAAAATGATTTCTCTTTTTTTATTTGCCAGTATTTAAATTTTCATCATTATCATTTTATGGTAGAATATCTTATGCGAAGAAATCAATACCTATGGATATTGATTTGAGGGTCAACATTGAGATATGTATCTGTCAATGTCTACTGATTCTGGTTAATAGTTAATATCTACCAGTCAATTCATTTTTAGATAGCAGATCCTGGCTCCTGCTTCTTTTAGTGACAAACTATAGTATTATTATTCAGCAGTTGAAAGTATTGATTGAAGGATGGTTTCATTAAAAGTTTTATGAACATAAAGTGACTCAGACCGTAGCCTACAATCTATAAACAAAATTTCAAGATATAAACTGTATATCAAGAAATCATTTAGCATTATTTAAGATATTAATTTCAGATTCATTTTTTTCCCATTCCTTGATTTTGCATTAGACACCGTGGGTTTTAACCATAACAGCTTGTATTTCAAACTCTCTCTCTTCCACACTGAGATATAAAACACACTGAAAGCAAAAAAAAACCCACAGCAGCTAGAAAAAAAAAAAAAAAAATCAATGCCAATTCTGATTGGCCCAATGAGCTGTGACAGAGAAAGCTGATTGGATGAGCACCAATGATGTGCTTGAGGCAATGTTTGGAGTGTGTGTGCATGTAAGTGTTTGTGTGTTATTGTTAGTATAGTTCCTGTCTCTCGACTATAGATTTTACAGCCTCCGTTTCCCTCCCTCATTATCAGCTTCATTTGTTCTGCTCAGATAGGATCTGTGTGGAGCTCAGCAGTAATACGCAGTGTATACGCACATACGTGTCTGTGTGTAATCGCTGTTATTCAGGTTTGTTTTTTTCTTATTGAAACTCTACGACTACTACTCTACTGTTACTGCTGCTGTAACTTTTTGATCATCCTGTTATAACTGACTACCATATACTGTTTATCTCATGTGACTAGAAACCCCACGCTGCAGACTGAGGTTAACGTATCGAAAACATAAAATCGGTAACTACCTCAAACCTACTGCAAAGAGTTTTTAACTGGTTATGAAACAATCTCAATTTAATACTGATGCAAGCATGTGGCCTACAGAAAGCAAGACCATCAGTGAGAAGATGAGTGTGACAAGTTATTTCAATATAGTTATTCTTAATGCCTGGCAATAAGGTGGACTTTCCTTGAAATCAATTAAACAAGGCAGCAGAAACACTACCGCTTTTGTCCAAGGAATCAACAAAAAATTAACTCTCAGTTCCTAAAAGTAGTGCTGAATTCCAGTTAAAGTTTAAGGCAATGAAGCATCCACTCACGTACACTCCAAATCAAAACATTGTTTTAATTCAGTTGTATGTATTTCCAGCATACGCAAAATAGTGATATGATAGTGAGTGCTTGAAGTCAATACATTCGCAAACATTGCATTTTGGTATAAAATGTGGTAAAAAAATCTCACTATAATCTGAGAACAATTTCAGATAGTATTACTGGCTGAGGCTGAGGCCATTTACTTTATGTACGTATATATGGTGACTGTTCCAGTGATTTATAGCTTAAACTAAGGCTGGGTGTTTTGTAGGTCTTGGTAGGTGATCTGTAATGTATCATCCAAGTCTATAGAAAACAACAGAGACATAAGGTCTAACTCTAATATTAATGTGATTATCTTGTAATCTTAAAGGCTTAGATAAGGCACATTTTAGCTCATTTATAGACATGAGCCATAGCCATTGTTATCAGCTATAATAAATTAGTACCTTATTTTAGAAAGCATTTATGAATAGTCCTTTAAACGTTTTTAGACCACCTTCAGCTTCCTTATAGTGCACACCAGACATATCTGAACTGAGATAAATGTTGAGTTCAGGCCATCTGTATGTTTGACAGATCAGTGGGGGAAAATAAAGCATCAAAGAACGACTGAGAACAATGGATGAGTCTAGAAATACTATATATTGTATATATCATCTTAAAGGTTTGTGTGTGCGTATGGTTCCATGAAAGTGTGCGCTTCTGTGTGTGAAGTGAACATCTGATTTGTCTTAAATGTGTGTGCGTGTGTGTGGATGTGAGTGTGTTCTTTTAGAAAGAGCGTACTTCATCATTGTTAAGTATATCTCAACATCTTTCACCTCTCTGTCTTTCACACACACACACACACACTAAGGGCACATTTGTCTTTCTAGGATTTTGTAATCTTTCATCCTAGTGAGCATCCCTGGAACAAGCCAGTCCTCCTTTCACCTGCTTCCTACAGTTTTGTAACATGTTATGGATGTGCATCTACATGTGTGTGCAACATTGAACTTACAGGCAGTGTACCACAGTCCTCCCGTCTCCTCCGTCATACTGCTCCTGCCACTTAGCCAACCTCCTGACCAACTGGAGGATGGAGCGTTTAGAGAGAGGCGTGTCCCTGTAGGCCGGCCAGCCGATGAATTGAAAGTGCTGCACCAGGCGGTAACCGTCCTGTGGCTGAAGAGAGAGGTGTGAAAATTAGGATTTTTAGCATCATAGCTGTCATCACCACAGTCAACATCATGCAGTAATTCCACTGGTAATGTAAAAGTGGGTCTCTGTCACCTCCTTCGGACCTTGTTGAACCAAGCTATGATTGGAAAGAATTCAACACATAGTCTGACATGTGCCATGGCCAAGTCAGTGCAGCAATTCAAGGAACTGTGGTCCCTTGATATTGAAGTGAGAGTCTCAAAAGGCAAGTGACAGACAAGTGTAGTCTGAAGGTTGGCTGGTTTTACTGAAGCTGGCAAACAAGTTAGATCCTGGAAGGAAGGAAGTTTCTTCTTCCATCACCAAAAACTCTGAGAGATTTATCTTGTGTCTTATTTGTCCAGAGACCTGCTGGAAACCCTGCAAAACCAGACGGATGTACTTCTCAGACACAGTGTAGTTGTAGGCAGGAGCTGCCAGTGTTCTCAGTGGTGGTCTCATTTGGTAATGATATACTTAACTGTTACATAAAGCACTTTTCATGTGTTAGCACGCTGTGGTACTCTAATTAGTGCTTGTTTCTGAACAAAATGCCTTCTCAAAAGAAACAGGATTGGACTCAACAAAGAAGGCATCTTATAATGTTTAATTCAATTTCATGGCAGACAAAATGTTTTCAGTCGTCTGGCCCGAGGCGGCTGGCATCCACCACCTAAAATACCAAAACCCACCATCACTGTCAGACTGATTTACTGCTAGGTTTGTGACACAAGCATATGCAAACTGACATTTACAGACACAACCAGATACAGCGGCATCTGTTTTTGTCCACTACCTTCCCTCTCTTCCCAGTATACCTGCTTTCCCATTTATATTTCTCTCTTCTTCCCTTCCTTCTCTTTCTTAATCTATTTCCACCATTTCACCTCTTCCTCCATCTCCCCTTCCAATCAGCTCCTATTTTAAACTTTTTCTTTTCCTCACTCTTTTTTCCTTCACCTACTTCCCTCTGACTTACTCAGTCTTTCCCTTCATTGCTCATTTTGTTTTCCTCTTCTCTGTACGTTTCCTTTTCTCTCTTTCAAATCTCAAATTCTCCTTCCTCCTCTTTCACTCGCTCCCTCTCCATTTGATGGCTTAGTGGTTGGTGGTAGCTAGGTTGGAGCTGCTCAGTGTGAGATGTGCTGTTGTGGCGATGATATGAGCCATTTCACGCTAGACTGGTGATGTGTTTGAGAGAGAGAGAGAGA